GTTTTCAGAATGATCTATACACGGTTGTTATTAACGCATTTTTTTCAGTGGCCAAGGAAATGTAACCAGTTTTTCTTAACACCCTCTCCTTTCCCTTATGTTTTATGGTGAATCATAACCTATAAGCATAAATCAGCTATAGTGATATTTATGGAAACGTAGTCAATGTCTTTCAGTCTTCATCCTCCGGACAGAGTTGTCACTTCCGAGAATCGACAGCCGAAAACCTCATTTTAAACTTCCATTCACTTTTTTCTTCAAATATATTCGTGAGTTCCACTAAACATACAAATATGGCGTTCAGATAATCATTAAAAAGTTATAGATGTGATAGTCCAATAGATTCTTAAAGGCTATAGGTAGCATGGTCAGATAGCCATCAAAACCTTAGACATATCGTGTATAGCTGACCCCGGCATCAGTGGACCATTGAGCCAATTAATGAAGAAATTATTCCCGTTGAAGGTGAAATGGTAAAAAACAAATATAAACATATACATGTATCTATTGCGTCTGATTTACAATGTGGAAATACATCAGTGAGAAGAAATAGAACGAGAAAATATAAACATGCACCTACCAATCACTTTTCTGTGGGCTAGTTTTCATTTTTGACTTCTATTTATGAGGTTGGAAATGGATCAATGATTTCTGCTAGATCTATTTTCATTTCTGTTGAAAGAAAATTCGTTTCTCTGAGAACTTCTCCTTATCATGAATAGGTAGTATGATCAATATCTCCTTAAAGGCCTTTTTCAATTCCGCTTATGAGAGTAAAAATAGATAAATAGTTTCTTTTTTATGTTCGATCTACTCTGGTGTGAACGGTCTGATATAAGCGATGTTGTTTCTTCAAAAAGCGCTTCTGCTTGAAATGAAACGATTTGAATAATCTGAGTTTCGTCTCCTTCCTTTTTGAACTTTGGATATGTGTTCCAGTGATCGGAAATGAATTTTCATTGTTAAAGATTTATGAGAATAGAATGCTCCTTGCTATATCTGACGTAGCGATTGGAGATCGTAATGAATGAGGTCGGATGTTCGAAATGTATACCTAATGGTATTTTTACATAAAAAGAGCAGAAGAATAGAATGCCATTGACAAGGAGTTCGTCAACGATTTTAGTAGGGAATCGTAACGGATATGAAGACTTTTCTTTCTCTTTTTATACAAAAGAATAGAATGCATTTACCTAGTACATATATTATTGTATGAATAAGAGTTTTTGTTTCTCCATATTTATTCTCTATTTTTTAGTAACTGCAAAGTTGGTTGTTATATTCGTCCTTGATATATTCATAATCTCGATAGATGGCAGTAATCTCTATAGAAATGAAACATTATATAATATAAGGAAAAACAAACAAACATTCTTTTCATTCTAATATGATTGGCTATAGAAATGATTGAGTAGTGTAGATAAATAAGACTCCATCTTCATGAAAAAGTGAAAAGTATACACTTCAAGAATAATCTGTCATTAAGAAGAGAATGTATTTTGCTGTTATTTCTTTTTCTTAGAGAAGAACTATTTGTTGTACTTGATCTTAGCTGCTAGAGGGAGGAAATGTGATGATAATGATGTATCTTCACACTAGAGTTATGAATAAATATTTATTTCTTTTCTTTTTCTTAAACTTGGTACTCGTAGCGAAAAGAATGTAAGGAATACTAGGAATAAAAACTAACACCAAAATTAGAATGGTAAAAAGAAGAGCAATCTTGACCACTTGAGTTCATCGAAACGTTTCTCATGCACCATCTTAGACTGTAAGGTAAGCATTTCATTTTCACACTCTTCTAAAGGTTAGTAGATGTCAGCATATCTACGAACATCCTGCCTTATTCATTCTGCACACCGTGTAGTTTTCATTGCAACCAACTTGTCTTTGTCATTACGAATTTCCAAACTTTCTTGTCTTGAAATCCAGTGCAAACTTTTCTGTTCAACGACTAACTATGGGTTTTCAGAGTTCGTTACGAACTCCTAAACTAATTTCATTTTCGTGTAAAAAAGCGACAAAAAAATATGATTCTAATCGGTTGTTTTTTTATCAATAATCAATTAATATGCCACGATTTTAATCTAACTTCCTCAGCTTTTTTAGTTAATTTTAATAGATTATGTGAGTTTTACTCGATTTTAATCGCTAAACTATAAAATGCTGTTTTTTCTGCACTTTTCACTTAGAAACTCCTGTTTTTGATTATATCTTTTGACTTCTTGCGTCGACAAATGGTAAGTGAAGTGCTAACCACATCTTAAGAGGAACGGTAACCAACTGTTCCATCGCTCTTGCATTGAGACTATGTGCACTATGTAGGTACAATGGAGCTATGAATGCCCTGAAACAAGTTGCGACCGCTAGCTTATTGCTACGGAGATACTGCACTTGTAGATATGTTTTTATATGAATACCGTAGTTCCCCTTCAGGAATACCAGAAGAAATGATCTGTGAATCATCGATATATCATTCGTTACTAGTAGACCGGTACCAGTCTTCAAAATTCAGATCAGTTCCATCTTTACTGAAACCTTCGGAGAAAAACTATTCTTAGTAAGGCCAATCTTTATGTAAAGTTCCAAGCAGAAATTCGAAAATTATTTTTTTTGGTGTTTCTTAGGCGGACCACGACATCTATTTAAAACTATATCGCACAAGTGCAGTATCTCCGTAGCAACAAGCTAGTGATCCGAACTTTTTTCGAAAAATTTATAGCTCATTTGTACCTACATAGTGTGCATAGTCTCAACGTAAAAGCAATTGAACAGTTAGTACCTTCTTACATTCGATATACTATCACATGCGACAGGAACTCATACTCACACGTGTAAGCTAAAACACCGGCAACTTAGGTTAAAATCGATTAAATCTGAGTAATCGATTAAGACCGATTAAAATCCGATCTTTGTGTCGTTTTTTTACATGAGTTCCGAACATTCTGTTTTTCGTTATATTTTATTGACCTTTGCTATTAAAAGCTCCTTTTCTGAACATCCTGTCTTTTTTCTTATATCCTTTGATGCACTCTATCTAACAGAAACATCAGAAATTATTTTTTGAGAACTTTTCCAAAACTGATACTTGCATTGATTCGTTCATGCTTTTCATGTTTGATATAAAAAATCATAAAATAGAACGACCTTTTAAAAATCGAATCCCAGGAGTGTTATTGAAATATAAGTTGAATTAGAAAAGAACCAATTTTACGCATCCTTCCTTAGTATTTTTTGTGAACGCATAAAGTAGTTTACGTCCGTTCAAAGTTTTATTGTGTCGATAAACGCTGATGCACAGTGCTTTGTTTCTCAAAAATACTGTGGTGTTACGGCATGTATAGTACTCCATACTATGGTAATATGTTACTTTAAACATCACGCAGACTACGACCACATGTTAAATGTTTTTGTTATCTTTGGATACCGTAAATGTCCATGCACACTCCTTTTTGATCGTCGTAATACTCGATTCGGAAATACACTATTTACTAACATAACTTACCCCAGTAATCATCACAACACAACAAACATAAATACCCCGCATATTTGATGAAAAACCGCTATCTTGACCTGAACCGTATTTTTTAATCTTTGCCATCCGCCTGCTCTTCCCTCCCCCCTCCCCACTGGAACAGTACTTTTCGATAGAGAATGAAAATGTACATCTAGCACAACAAACTAGAAAGCTAACATCAGTCAGAAAGCAAAACTGGACAAGTTTTATGATCAAAAGTGAGTCACATAAAAGTATTTTGACTTCAAACCTTGATTTTTACCTGAGAACACCTGTCGAAAATTGTACCATTTGACAAAGAATCAAATTCTGAATCTAACATAACAAACAAGAGAACGGTCAGAAGTCATATAGGGAGTCCGAGCAATGTTTACGGCCCAAATCTGGTCGAAAAAGCAGTATTGGGAGAGAGAACTGAGTTTTTGTTGCACGATCCTCGCCACACAATGTACCATACAATAGAAGATAAAATTCTGCACATAACTTGATCCATTAGAGAACTAACACTAGTCATAGAGGGAATCTGAACAAGAAATAGTGATGTTGCATTGTCAGTTTGTACGAGAAAACCCAATATTTTGGGTGAAAAACTTTTATTTTTGTCTGATAACTTTATTGAAATGGGCAGTATTCGACAGAGAATAAAATTCTACACCGAACACAACCGGTTAGAGATTGCAAAATAGGTCAGAAAACGAATTCGGACTAGAAAAGGCCCAATCTGATGCTAGCTTCCTCAGATCACACACAAAATTGAGCAGTCGGAAGTAACGATCCGTAGGAACACCGACGACTGCCCGTGAACTCTCTTCTAAAGTTCACTTTAGAAAATTTCAATAGAAAAGTTCGACCTTTTCATAAACAGTTTTTTTTTATATGAGCGTGCGTGTTCAAGAATCGTTTTCAAAACAGAATCCAACAAATGATGAGGGATTATGGTTAGATCAAATTTAGTTGATGATCACACTGGTCATCACGAAGAGCATTAATTATTCTCTTTGATATTGTCGTGATCAAGAGTTGATTTTATTATTCAAAAAAGGAAAGAAATCGAATTTCATAGAAGATTTTATTGGTATGATTTCTAGAAAGAGCTCTTGATTTGATCTTCATTTTAACGATTTTTATTGAGTAAAAATTTTTAAATGATCTATAATTGGTTAAATTAGATGAAATACCCAGACCTCATATTTATTTC